AAAAGCAATTCAAATTACAAAATACAAGTTACAAAATACAAATTACAAAATACTAATTACAAAATACTAATTACAAAATACTAATTACAAGATACAAATTACAAAATACTAATTACAAAATACTAATTACAAAATACTAATTACAAAATACTAATTACAAGATACAAATTACAAGATACAAATTACAAGATACAAATTACAAGATACTAATTACAAAATACTAATTACAAAATACTAATTACAAAATACTAATTACAAGATAGATGAAACATTCTGGTAAAGGACAAATGTGTGAAACACAATATGATTGAGTGGATGGATTGAGTGAACCAATGAAAACTGAAATAAATTATAAAGGCTAATAATAAACAAAAAAGTAATAGAAATAAACAAAAGTAAAAGAAATAAAGGCTTTTGCATTTTCATTCATATTCTTTGAGAAATTAAAACCAAAAACACCAGGGTGTGTAAACTCGTGGGTATAACTGTAAGTGTGTGTGCGGTGAAGAAATCTACTGCCCTTTCAGGAAGTATGTGGCTTTTCAGAAATCCATAAAAGTGATTGTCTTATGTACTTTAATATAAAGAAGGCAATACATCTTTTATGTTGCTGAAACCATTACCTGTTCTGTAGAGTTCCATGCAATATGAACTAGTCAGCACTAACCAATAGCGTTACACTACGGCTTTCGTACAGACGTCAGTCACAGAGCGTGCTCCCGCATTTAAGGATGTTCCTTGGCTGATGCAGAGTTGGCAACTTTTCACATGAAACGTAAGTCTTTAAGATATAAATGTTTATGTATTTAGCAGACGCTTTTGTCCAAAGCGACTTACAAGTGATATTTACAAGTAAATATATGCTGTTTGATGTCATACATGTATGCTGCTGTTCCTTTTCACTGGCAGGACTAAAGCCATACAAGCACACCGCTGCACTTCTGGAATGATGCTGAATAAGCCATTAGGTCACTTGTTTTGACGTGAAATTTCATCGCAGAAATTTTGAAAATTGGGGTTTTATACTGAAACAGTGTGTGATTTCCTGTCTAGCATGATGTTAAATGTGAAAATTGTCGTGTCCCAAAAGCGGCTCGCTGTAAAAAAAAAAAAAAAGAATCCGATCCAATCTGTAGCGGCGCGGCACGGCGAGCCACTTCTGATATGCACCGGAAAATTTAGACACACTATACTGGATTCTATTTGAAGCAGTGGCGTTCCACTGCTGCTCCACGCCGCTGATGCTTCCAGTGTGAAGCAGGAGTGAGACCATACCAACGGACTCCCTCTCATCACTGGCAATTAGCAAAGAGGTTAATGTGTAAAATAGCGTTTATGAATGGTAAAAGTTTAATCATTTGTTACAAATCAGTAAATGCATTTTGTCCTCACGGGCTCCTGTAGAAGGAAACACTGCATCTAATATGGCGTCACCCAGAGACTTAGACCCAATTTTCATGTATTTTAGACTTGATTTTCATAGTTACATGTTACAAAGCCAAAACAACGGAGCATCATTTTATTCATTTTCAACAACATTTGAATGGATATTTCCAGAGCTGAACAGAACAATCCACACACTGTCCCTTTAAATTTATGTAAACATACTAAATGCATTTACTTGAGCTCAGGTAACAAGGAATGTTTCTCCCGTTTGTGTATGGTGTGTGTGTGATCATGTCAGACAGCCACAAACCAGAAACAGGAAAAACAGTGATTTTAAATCAGATTCTTTGACAAATCTAGAACATCCGATACTTCATTTGATGACATAAGAGACTGCAGAAAGTAGCAAAGCCTCCTCTAAGATTGGTTTGTTATAATTTCCTGTTTATTTACTGTGAAGTTAAATTTATCCCAGACTCCAAAGAGAATGGTTACATTACTGGCTGGAAACCTCAAACGTCCCGTGAGACGTTTAAAATCCATTATGAGCATAGTTCATCATCTATAAAACCGATCACATCAGCTAAACACAAGCAGATCTAATCAGGCTGCATTAAACCACAACACAAAATAAATGAAATAAAGTAGCATTTTGTGTGTCAATCTTTCTGTTGTTAGAAGACAAAAATAATGACAACATCCATCATCTTCGGCTTTATTTCACCACAGCAAAGTTTAATCAAAACAGATTTTCTGAGGAGCCTACTGGTGGTGTTCGGAGGGACCGGTGGCGCCGTGTATGGCAGACTCGCCTCTGTCAATGTGCCCCAGGGCAGCTGTGGCTACAGTGTAGCTCATCACCGCCAGGGTGTGAATGTGTGTGTGGATGGGTGAATGACTGTGTTGTAAAGTGCCTTGTGGGGTTCCAGGACTCTAGAAGGTGCTATATCAGAAAAGGGCCATTTACCATTCTTATTTAAGTAATGATAGTTTTACATTATTGGCCAGTTAAAATGTATCATAATTCATTTTCTTAAATTTTTTTAAAAATTAAACGTGCTGTGAAATCTATTCATCTAATCAGTTTTATCTAATTAGTTTAATCAGAAACATCATTACCGACAATCCAACTAGTTAGCTTCTCTCCACTAAAAAGTTAGCCTAACAAGCCTTTAGCTTACGGCCAATGTTTGGAGTACAAAACAAGACAATCAAAAGCAGAAGTTGCTTTATTATCTTTTTAAAACATTTCTTGGAGCGGTTCCAGTTCAGTTTGTCTATTCGTGCGCCGTCAGACGCGTCCGAAAATGTCCCTGTGAGAACTGAACGAGGATACTGGACTTCCCTTTCATCAATAAGTTTGCTGCACAGAAGAAACGCAGAACCTATTTAGTGAGCATAGCCTGCTGCTGCTGCGTGTGTGTGTGTGTGTGTGTGTGTGTGTGTGTGTGTGTGTGTGTGTGTGTGTGTGTGTGTGTGTGTGCGTGCGTGCGTGCGTGCGTGCGTGCGTGCGTGCGTGTGCACCTGCTGTGTTTGCTTTTCTTTTTTAACATTTATTTAAATAAAAAACCTGCACATAGCAACTCATTTTACTCAGTAAATAATCCTGTTGGATAATAATTGAGAAAATTCTGATTAAAACTAATGAAACTCAAATATTACATCAATATTTTGTTGTATTGTTTTGATTTGAGTTTAAAATATGATTATTAATCAAAACTATTCATAATCATAACTTCAACTCAGAAATCACAACTATAAATCAAAAACGCAACTATTATCAGCGTTTGTGCGTTCGTATGCATGTTTGTGCATGTGTGCGTGCGTGCGTGTGTGTGTAAATGAGCTTTTGGGCATGAAGCAACTTAAGTTTTCTGATAGATTTTAGATTTTGCTTTTTCTTTACTTCACAACAAGCAGCTGGATACCAGATATCAGCTGGTATTCCTGGTCTGTTGTTTTTTTTTTTTTTTGCAATGTGTTGTTGCGTTAAGCCCAATTTTTGTGCTGGAGCAGGGAAACAACTAAAACATGATAGATTTGGAGTATTGAGGACCAAGGTTAGAGAGCTGATGGGCCATTGTCAACTCAAAATGCCTGGGCTGATTTTTCATCCCAGTCCGGCCCTGGTCTCAGCGGTGAGTGTGTTGCAAACAACAATTAAAAAGGAGAGGATGGTAAACAGGAAATGGCTTGAGAAGAAAATTGATGATGGCCAGAATATCAAAAACAATGGTAGAGAACAGCAAGAGAAAAAGGCCAGCAAAGCAAACAGACTCTGGTATGTTATGATTTAAACAGTCAAAACGTGACGGTTTTTAAATGGTGTCTCCAGCTTGAAGATCAACAGCAGCAGAACAGTTTGACGTCTTCCAGATGTTGTCAACAATGTTTAATCAACTCAACTTAACCCAACTGGACTCAATCCCATCAATCTCACACCCCATCTTTCCCTCACTCGTGAACAACACCCCGAGATACTTAAACTCCTCCACTTGGGGCAGGACCTCGTCCCTGACCGAGTGAAGGCATTCTATCATTTTCCAATGTTTCAGACAGAACTTTAAAAGAGTAATTATACTTCATTCAAAAAGCACCTCAGCAGTAATCTGCTTAACTGCATGACCAGTCATCTGTGTCATTAGAAATTGATGAAGATGCTGGAAGACCTTAAATTCAGTTCTTTTATGAGATTTTTCCACAACGTGTGTAATCTCGTGGCACGATTTGATGGCCCACAGCTTTACAACACTTCGATTCAGACACATGCTCTTCTTTATCCGCTTTTATTTCTTTAGTCACCTGCAAATATCTTGAATCAAATTTTCAGGATTATGAATGGCTATAAGGGCTGCCAGTTCAATCTTGGCTTAATCCCAATCCTTCTTCTGTTGTGTCCTTTGGCAAAGACAATGAGGCTGGTGGTGCAAAATGGCAGCTTTGCCGCTGTCTGTCGGGCTTTTTTTTACATCTAATAAATTAGCCCTATTAATGCATAACAAGACTGGTTTGATCAGACTTTGTTGAATTAGACTTTAAATTAGCTATAATATAACGATATTAATATTCTCCAACTGCTGATAATCTCCAGAAAGCCTCCACGGTTGCAAACAATGTGGGCGACAAAAGAGCTGTTGGCCAGGTTTCTATCTTGGTACCTCATGTATGTCTGCCTACCCTCTGATGAATAATGTAACGAGTGGTGAGTGGTGTGGGTGGCAGAGAGGAATGGCCTCTTCTCAAAATAGATATGAGTGCAAAAATACAAAAGGAAAAGGAACATTGAGGACATGATACAGTAGCACAGATATTTCAAAATGTCCTCGAGATCTAAAACACAAAACAGGTGGGGGGTGTCACACCCTGTCCTGTCTCCCCAATCGGTTCAGTCCTGTGTTCATGTTAATTGCTCCCACCTGCCTCTCATCTCCAACTCACCCAAGGTCCCAGCTCCTCCTGTATTTAAACCCTGTTAGTCCATTTTGTCTGGTTGGTTTCATTGTTTCATTGTCCTACGTGTCCCTGAATAAATCTGTGTTTTAAATGTTCTGTCTGCCTGCTTCTTCACCCGCGTGTGGATCCACACCTCCGCTTCGCTCACCGGCACGTTTCTGACAGGGGGCGGTTACAGGTGTCATGAGGTCATCGTGGCTGGTTTTTAGAAATTGGAAGGTTTTTATGATGGCAGAATTATAAAAAATGGAAATAAATATTATTTAGGGATAGGGAAGGATCAGAATGAGACATGACGTTGGTATGAACAGAGCAGGTGCAGCATAGCAGCAGATGCCCCACACAGCGTGACAGACGCTTATTTCCTCTCTGTGTGCGCGTTTTTGTGCGTGTGCGCACTGAGCCGCCTCTCCAAATCCGTAACTTTCTCGGTCCGGTCTTTCAGCACTCGGTGCCGGCGGAGAGCAGCGAATCATCTGGAGCTCGGTTCCGGGATGGTTCCGCTTCATTGAAGATGACATTAACCGTGACAGGACGCTGATAAGAAATCCTCCGACACATTTCTGCGCGTGAACGCAGCGGAAAGTATCTCCGCGCGCACCGCCACGCAGCAGCTGCACCGGGGCTATTTTTAGAAACAATGTTGCGGTAGAGGAATCAATCAAAGTGGGGCTAAAACATTGTGTTCGAGACAATCTGCTCCTCGTTTCTCCTCCTCCTGTCTGAGATTTCTGCCCGGTCATGGCTCAGGATGTTGCATTTGTGTCCAGCTGCACTCAGCTGATCCCAGATGACGCCGGCTCCTCTCACGCTCTTCAGGAAAGCAAACCGGTGGGCTGCAAACTTTTGTACCATGGACTCCGTCGGCATTGATCCAGGCACCTCAAGTAGTTTCGTTGGAATTTCTAATAAACATCCCAGTTGTCTATATGAAAGAGATTTTTTGCTGCATAAGAACTAAGAAGCCTACAGTGCAACATATATTTTCTCTTCACTTTTATCAAGTGCACATTTTTGCGGGCTCTTATGGGAATTCGGCACTCGTCCCGCTGCATGCTCCTCAGGAGAAAAATGGCGGAGTCTGAGAGCAGTGAGGTGAGTGAGAAACAGCTTTCATTTGTTTAATCTGACACGAGAGCTCCGTTTTTGCTGAATCTGTTAGAGCTAATTGTTTCTTGCACCATGCGCCCTGCAGAAAGAGGCGGTGGAGATATTTGAGATTTCTGACAGAAAAGAGATCTTTCTCGTTTTGCAAAGACGATTACCACCATACGAGACCAAATAAAGATGTTATGTTCCGTTGAAGTTTGTAGAAATGTGTGATGCCACTTTGATTTTCTAGAAGAGTCGACAGGCGACAGGAAGAAGAATCCCCTCCGCATCCCACTTGTCCTCCATTCTAGGGCCCTGTGTCCACATGTGGACATTGTCTCCTCATGAAATCTCTTTCTCTTCCACTTATACCCTTAAAGACACTTGATCTTGACTTTAAATTAGAAATTTTTTGTTTTCCCAAAATGTTTAAGGAAATTTGCCAACGTATTTATTTAAATGTATTCTTTTTTATTTAAATGTTTGTAATTTTGTTTCCATTAATGAGAGTCAGCTAATCTGTAATAGCTAGACAAGTTTTTTTTTCTTTTAAATCACACCAAATACAAGTTTGGGTCTCATGGTTAAAACTATTTAAATATCCGTGACTATGATGCTAATAGAAGATGTTGTACTTTATAATGTAGGCTAACAGGACAGAGTGCGGCTTTTTCGGTCTGCTGGGAATCACTTGCGCTGTCCATGGTGCTGCAGTGCTCCGCAGCCTAAACGAGGGGATTGTTGAGACCCGATGCTTGGAGCAGTTTCTGGGACATGGAGTAAATTCCCAACCTGTAGCCTTTCCATTTTATATTTCGTTCTCTTTGGCTCACTTTGAGAGCTCTAAATTAGACATAAGAGATTTTTTTTGCCTATTTTAGATGTTTCACATCTGAATTCATGATGTGAATGTAGCCTATACAGCTGTCACGTTTGATTTATATGGACGCTTAAGTGATCCAAACACATCTCAGCCTCATCACGATGCATTATTTAGTGCAAAAAGTGAGAAAGCCAGTTCTTAGACGAAGCATTTCTCAAACTCAGCACTTTTTATGAATACTCATGCCCAAGTGGAAAAACAAGTAATACATTGAGATTATTATGCTTTTTTTCTCTCTGAAAGCTAAAACACACAGAGTCTTGCATCCTCCAATAACGACAGATATGTACTTCTCAAATAATACATATCATCTAGAGATCTTAATAAAGACAGAAATACAATCCCAAATGTGTTTATCTGTTCTGAGGGTCAAAGGCAGAGATTTGTTTCACACTCTTCTGCCTGTGGCCTCTCAGCTGCACCCACTGCACCTGCTCCTCTCGGATTCTGTTGCACCCTGAAGCTGATTCAAATCTGTTACGTAACAAAACACATTCCATCCCTTCAAAAATGCACATAAGATTCTGTAAATGAGACTCAGCAGGATATGTGTCAGATTACAGCCGAATATTTGGAGTATGATGCATTCTGCAGGTTTTGTACCTGTGCCGGTTATTAAAAGGTGTAGAGCAGTGAAAAGACGTCTAAATGATGATAAGGTTAATCTCCTTGGTTTATATGAGGTAAAGAGGATTACATTTGGAGATTAAATTTATAGAATCTGCTGCATGGCTTTATGGGGCATGTATCAGGGGTAAGTATCATGCCTGCAGCTGACAGACCATTCATGCTGGAAAAATATAGACATGTTCACACGCCAAATATTTTACAAATGCATTTTAAAACTGTCTGAAACTTGGAATGGGATTAATCACCAGAATGGCGTTAGTATGGAGACATATGGAACATCTGTCTCTGACACACACACACACACACACACACACACACACACACACACACACACACACACACACACACACACACACACACACACACACACGGTGGTCATCAGGGTAATGTCCTGCGTCATGCAGAGCTTTGCGACTTCTGCCGACAGCTGACTTGACTCCTCATCAATCTGTAGACCTAATGGACTAACCCTAACCCTAACTCACCCAATAGCTGTCTGGAACGTGACCCAAGAATCTCTAATTACAAACGAAATGTTCTTAATCTTTTTTCTCTCCGACAGCCAGTCTCACGTCCACAGCCAATCCGTATAATACCATCAGCACAGCCAACCTCTTTACCCAAGCCCGTGCCTTCGGTCCAACATGCTCCTCGACCTCCCCTCCCTCCACACACGCCCCACGCTGCCAGCCTGCCCAGCTGCCCGGGACGGGGCAAGATGGCCAGGTTTCTCAACCCAGAAGAGATGACCTCACGGGACTACTATTTTGACTCATATGCTCACTTTGGGATTCATGAGGTACCTTCACAACCTGTACAAATATTCTCTGGTGATAAAACATTTTAACATGCACTTTTCTGAACCTTTGGACAACAAAGATGCGACATTTCTAAATGTCAACATTCCCTCATGTTTAAAACCAATTCAGGCAAAGGCCCATCACACTGAAACTCACACACTGTCGTATTGACTCAACAGTTCTTGTCATAAAATTGCACAAAGAGCATCAAGTCATTCTATTCTGAAATAATGTTAGGCTCAAAATATTACTTTGTATTGGGGATGCACGAAAAAATAATCATCCAGCCATAAGCATTGACATTGGACGTGTTACTGCTAGTTTACCCATTTAATTAGAGATCCACTAGGATAAATACAATAAAGTTTATCTCACCAAATAAGACATCACAATATAACTGTAGACACATTGTGTGTGTGTGTGTGTGTGTGTGTGTGTGTGTGTGTGTGTGTGTGTGTGTGTGTGTGTGTGTGTGTGTGTGTGTGTGTGTGTGTGTGTGTGTGTGTGTGGTGTGGTGTGGTGTGGTGTGGTGTGGTGTGGTGTGGTGTGGTGTGGTGTGGTGTGGTGTGGTGTGCTCTGTCTTCTCGATCCCCAGTGAGTCGTGGAGGATGGCTGCTTATACTGAGCCAGGATTCTCTGGAGGTTTCTTCCTGTTAAAAAGGAGTTTTCCTCTCCACTGTCACTGCATGCTTGCTTAGTATGAGGATTGCTGTAAAGTCACTGACACTAGTCAGTGACTTGATGCAATTTGCTGGGTTCCTTATATAGGACACATTATTTCTGATTGGCTTAATGAACTGACCTGAATTGGAATGTTTATTATGTGAAGTGCCTTGAGACGACTCTTGTCGTGATTTGGCGCTTTATAAATAAACTTGAATTGAAAATATTCAGCACAATCTGCTTAATCAGTGATTGGTCAATCTGAAAGTTAGAAACTGATGTTTTATTAATTTTTTGTTAATCAGTGCACCATTTCTGATCAGCAGTAACAATTCCTACATAGTTCAATGTGCATGAACTCACAATGGCGAAGCGCCAACTCACACTCATACCAGATCGTTATTTGAACATTTTTACTACCAGCATCACTATAGTCAGGTTAATAAGATAAACCGTGTTTGGTATCCACAGATCAGAGCTGCACAGCAAATAGTTGCTAGTTCTGGGCTTCAAAACCAGAACTGGTGCATGTCATCGCTATAACTGGTGGGCATAACGATGTAAATATCAATAACTGAAATTACACGTTGCACCAGTCGTTTCTCCTAAAATGTTTATTATACAACGCGAACGTTGACGAAAAAATTGACGTTTTTATTTTTGAAAATCCCAACTAAATTAGCTATTTGAGTTGGCATAATTTACTAAGTTAAAAGTTCCATATGATGCTATTTTAAACCTATGAGAGCAAAGCTAGGGGACAGTATTTGATAAAACATAACCGTACCATTGAGATGTCATTGATCTAAATTTTGTCAGCCTGAATTTATACCCAGACATGAAACGCTTTGCTTCAGTGAAACTCTGCCCACACTCGCTACGACAGACCGTGCCTACAACAGTGGCTTAGGTGAATCAGTCACCATATTGGTGAAGGCATCTGCCCGATATCTCAGTTTTGCCCTAAGCTGACGTGGGTTTGAATCCTGGTGGTGTGGGCATTAATTATTTAGCCAGCTGAAGCAGATTTTATGTTTTTATGTTTTAGTTTTATTGATTATTTTCTGCAAAATATTTGGTGTCCCTTAAGTTCTTTGAATTTGGTCAACTCCAAACAGCATTTTAGTGGATTTACGCAGCTCGCCTCACACGGACTCACACTGGCTAAAAAAACAAAGAAAGTAAGAAACACATATTAGTCCTTATAATTTAAACAGTTTATTGGTAAACAATTGAAAACATAATACTGGCAAGTGTAGCAAAAATAAATAAATAATTAAAAAAAAAAAAGAACTTGAAGAAAAATTTACTACTCAAACTGGGATGTGAACCTGTACAAAATTGTGTGCCAGCCCAGCAGTCTAACCACCACTATGATTCCTGTGCTGGCCAGGGGAAACCTGTTTTAGACCAGAGGCTACCTTCTGGGAGAGAGGCAGCGCCTGATGACGAGGCTAGTTTCCATTGATGCTTTACAAGATTTTCAAAGTAAAACTCAAAATTTGCTGCTAAAACTGGCAAATCCATGAATGCAGCCAAAAACGGATTTGTTTGCTTTTTTTCCACAAAGAAATAACATCACATTAAGCTCCAAAATGCCGATTATCTACAGACAGGATGTTGCTGCTGCTGATGCTACTTAGATTTTTGTCCCGATTTCAGTCCCTATCCTCCACACAGCTCTTTGTGTTTTAGAGGAACAAAACTAGTAACTGTGTGAGACCTTTTACTGTCCTGCTCTGAGCTGCTCACAGCCTTTTAACTCGGACTCTTATGTCACAGAGAGTTTTAGAGGTGTCTGAGGCTTCCGGAGCTTGTTCCGTAGACTGTTTAGTTCACATAAAAACGGATCCCTGCCTAAAAGAACGTTTTTGCTAGAAGAACCCAGCAGACAGCTGTCAAGCTCTGAAGTTGAGGAAGAAGAAACAATTCAAGACAGTGTCAGAACTTTTGCGATGGTTCTCAATTGAGAAATTAATGGAAACTTTTCCTTCTGTCAGTATTATAGATCTTTCAAGGAAACCTTCCTATGAGTGTGGGGTTTAACAACATGTAGTTGCCTAAACCATCAGGGTTTTTCAGATTTTAGAAAAAAAACATGAAACCTTAAAGAGGAAAAAACAGCTATTGCAACTTGGGATGATGTTTTATTTATTTTTATTTTTTATTTTTTAGAAATGTAGGTCAGGTGTATTTTTGTCAGGTGTTATTTTTCTCACTGACACTTGCATGCACACAGTGTGAAACAGAAAAAATGATCCAGACTTGTTGAGCCTGGAGGTTCACGAGGTTTATGCAAAACACCCATCAGTTTAAATGTGGAACCAAACAGTTGATAGGAATTCAGGTGAAATTTAGTTATCTCAGTAAATCCAAACCCCTCAAAATTCCAGTTTTCACTCTTTGAACTATATGCACTGAAATCTTCATATTTTTTATTTGCTAAACCAGGAAATGCTGAAGGATGAGGTGAGGACGCTCACCTACAGAAACGCCATGTATCACAACAAGCATGTCTTTAAGGACAAGATTGTATTGGATGTTGGAAGTGGGACTGGAATCCTCTCCATGTTTGCAGCTAAAGCTGGAGCAAAGCATGTGTATGGGGTAAGTGTCATTCCCTTTGGTGAATGTATATGTAGCTGATCAACCAGGAAGCATGTAAACCAGGGGTGGGCAATCCCAGTCCTCGAGGGCTGCTGTCCAGCAGATTTTACTTGTTTCTGCTTAAACACACCTGGTTTGAATCTACTAGTGATTAACAGGCTGCTGCAGAGCCTGATGAGCTGCTGAACAGGTTATTCATCCAGGAATCGGGTGTGTTGGGGCAGGTAAACAACTAAAACCTGCTGGATAGCGGCCCTCGAGGACCAGGATTGCCCGCCCCTGATATAAACACTGGGTTGTTCAGGCTGTGCCAGAAATGACTGCTGATAACAGTGTGAGGCATTTCAGTAAGGATAGTCATCCGAGACCTCCTACATTTGTAGTCAGGTCATGTTTAGGAAAACATGCTGCATAATCACCTCTAGTGTGATATAGTTACTGGGAGTGCCTTTGTACAAAGGGTTAAAGCATTATATCAGGTGTGCACAAAAGTGGTCCGCAGGTGCGCATGCGCTGTCATAATTAAGAATGTGCACCTGAAGAAAAGCTGCAGAACGCATTTGCGCACCTAAGATTTTGAGGAGCAAGGAAGACATTTCTGGAGCATTGTAAATATGTCCAAGAGGCAAGATCCATTAAGTAATCATTTTGGTGTTCCTCCGCCTCCAAAAATACGCCAGACTGAGTCGGAACCGCAAAAGAAAAGAGTATTCACGGAGAAGTGGATGCAGGAGGTCGGCTGGCTTCAAACAAACGATGAACGGCTTTTGTTATCACAAAAGCAGCTGTTTACTTATTGTGTTTTACATTCAGTCAATTCAGTCATGTTATTTGAAAATTAGAAGGTTTAAGTTAGGCTGGCAATATGTCCCTGTTGTACTTATTGTTTTCAGACAAAATTAAAATATGTTGCATCGTCAACGCGTTACTCTGTTTTGTTCCTATTGGGAGTTGGGTTAAGAATTAAGTGCATTAAAAAATGTGAGGACCAAGCAGCAACCAGGTTCTCCCCTGAGTAACAACCCAAAAATATTATGTGCACCCCTGCATTATATTATGCAAAACTCAACTTTTGCATCCGTTTGTGCTGCCATGTGGGTCTCTACTGCCTCTATAAACACTCCAAATGTGAAAAGAAAAAATAAACTTTCCTTCCGTTTTATGTCTAGAATTCACTGTCCCCTTCTGTGATGTCACAAATGTGGAAGGTAGAATAGAACCACCTCTCACATGCAAACGAGCTGCTGCTGGAGGAGCAGCAGCTTTACTCGGAGCCCTTTCCAGATATTGGAGCTTCTCAGCTTATAGCAGCTTGAGAGAGGATTGGTGGGCAGGGCCAGCTCCATGTTGTTTTTTAAATGACAGCATGCTGAAACAGCTCATTCTGGAAGGTACTGAAACCTTCAAGGATAAAACGGCTGAAATTGCTTAATGGGAGAAGAATCTTTTGCAAAGAGCGTTGTGAACTTGTTTTATATCAACAATAGAACTAATATGCAGTAAAAAGTTAGTGTGTGTCGCCTTTAAATCAGCTTCTTATTGAGCTGCAATTGGCAACAAGTTAGAAATAAAAGTTAAAAGACTCAATTTTTGTTAGGATCAAGCTGAATTGGTATATCTGACACTTTTGATACATTTATATATACAGTTCATGTATTTTTTTGCAGTTTAGATGTGAGTCCCTCCCTATCTTTAATAAGTAGAAAATTCATGCTAAATAAAGAGCAAGACCTTGTAACACATGTGTAACACATGCATGGAAATTAAGAGCCACTGCATGCTTTTCAAGTGCTTTTCGACATCTTAAATGTATGAAACAAAACTGAAACTCTAAGTTAACGCTAAAATAACAATGGCATTGCCATCTTATGCTCCTTACTTGCTGAATTTATTTTTAACTTGTAAATCAGAGGTTAACAGCATGACTAGAGGGGAGATACGATATCTGGGCTAAATTAGAAACACCGTGTCCCTGGAAAAAGGACAAGCCTGAGTCCAACAGAATGACGACAGTGACAGAAACTCTTCCTGACACTAATGAGATGTGTGAAGGTGTACCTCTGATAACACACCTTCAGGCTACTGTATTCCCAATGAAGTGTGATTCTGATGGACACACGGCTAATGGCTACTCCTTTCCTCTGAGATCTGGGCAGAGATGAGGACTAACTGCCAACCGGAAGAATCACGATCGAAACCTAATTATCACATACCATCACAGAGTAATTTAGACACACTGAGGTCTGCAAATGCAACCGTATTCACCCACCTGGTCCAAAATGAGTTTGGCTGATTGTGTTGGTGGTCAGTTGCTTATTGACCAGTCCTCTACTGACTGTGAGTGGAGGAGTACAGCAGGCCAGCTTCAGGGAGGCTGTGGTGATACATCCTGCTGCTGCGGGAAAACCGTCGACAGATATACTGGACAATTCGTGTCCATAGGCTCCAATTGTAAGTTTTTGTGCCAAAATGGGAGGTGGCCACCACCGCCATTTTGACCGTGTCACAGGTTCCGTCAAGCCCAGACAATTCCATAAAAGGGAAAAGAGGTGGCGCTGAGGGTGAGGCTGTAAGGCTGGGATCAAATGACGACACCAGTGGCGGCTGGTGAAAAATATTTTTGGTGGGGCTGCCATTCCTACCCTTTGATTTTCTTGTCAGCAATTGGACGACTGGTCTCGTCCCGTTTGGGCGATTGAAACACAGCCCACAGCCTCCACTGCTCGGCAGAGCTCGGCAGAGACCGGCAGAGACCAATATAGAAATATATATATATGATTTATTTTTGTTACAAAACACACAATTAACTTAGAATATGTGATTATTGTTAATTTTATTTATTTATTTATTTAAATAAAAATTAAAAACATTGGGGAAACTGGGAGGGCGGCGCCCTATCGCCCTCTACTGGCCAGCCGCCACTGGACGACACCCGTCGAACTGAAGCGATATAGCTACAAGCTAACCCAAAGCTAACGCGGAGGTGGGAGCTAAGCTAACGGAGGTAGCTACCTAGCTACAACCAGAGTTAACTGCACAACACCGGAGCTTCTGAGTCAGAGATGCGCCGGGCTGACCGCTGGATAAAACTGGGTGGAACACAGACAGACAGGCGCTGCAATCAGAGATGCGCCGAGCTGCTGCTGAGGGGAGGGGACCATACCGATAGTCAGGACCCAGCTCCACTAGGGCTGGGCGGATCAATCTAAAATATCGATAGAATCGATCTAACGTTGGTATTGAGTATTTATTAGACACCAACGTGAAGATTTCAATTCAGTTTCTTCTAGCCTGGCAAGCCATGACGTACTCACCGCTACAGATGTTGGTCAACGAGGCAGTCCACCAAACTCCGTCAAAGGTGATGCTGGGCCTTTCGCTGGAGCTATCTGCAGTCACGTGGGTCTGATGCTCATTAATTATTCAGAATTTTAGGCATTTAATACACTTAAACAGAAGAGTGACAAAACAATCCCCCCTACAGTTGACATGAGTGTAAACTAGATCTATTAAACCAAAAACATGTTTTGGAACCAGGCTGTAAACATGTTTATTTCTGCTGTGAAATTGGTATTTTTAACATGGGAGTCAATGAGGATTTGCTAACTTCTGACATCAGCCCCTAGTGGAAGAGAGTGGAACTGCAATGTTTGTCACTTCCTGTTTTGCTTCATATCCAGACTCGAATTATGGAGGCTTGGGGAAAACGGTTGTCCTCTGCATTAAAGAAACAGGCCAGAGTTTGTGCTACGATGAGACATTTACAAGATGAACTTTATAAGTTTTTCTGTATTTCAGTAATAGTTAACAGTTAAGTTAAAGTCCCATTAGCGCGCGCACACACACACACACACACACACACACACACACACACACACACACACACACACACACACACACACACACACACACACACACACACACACACACACACACACACACACACACACACACACGTGTGTGTGATATTTATCCGCATTTGACCCGTCACACTTGAGAACCATTTGGTGGTTTAACCCCCCAATTCAACCTGAGTATCAAAAGGGGGAAGCACTGGGTCTGGGTTTTATTTTTTGTGTTTTTAAGTCTTTTAACCGGGATTTGAACCCCGATCTCCCAGTCTCAGGGCAGACACTCACAACACTCTAGCCCACTGAGCTAGTATAAACAGATATATCAGGGAAATATGAAGCATGTTGAATCAAATTCTGGAAACTAGGAGTGTTCTGATCAATTTGTTTTGCCTCCACTGATACCAAAAAACTGAAGAAAGGAGGAAACTCACACCGCAGCTCTAGGGAACTGAAAAACCCAGCTTTTGCAACCAGACAGTCGTCCAGTGCAATAAATCTTGACTGTGATCTTTTTGCTTCCTGCAGGCAACTTATCTCACGTTTTTAACCTATCTTTTAGTGAAATACCCAATATGCACACATAACAAGAGGCTGTTGCACTGCCTCTACTGTCCAGGTTAAATACGTCCAAATTGCATCTCACTCTTCTGAGGACACACATTAGCTCTGCATTAGCCAGCTAGCTAGCAAACAGCTTAATGTTATGTTGACTCAAATCACCATCTGTCGTGAATTGCGTAATAGTCCGGCGTGAATATTCTTGTAATGGAACTCGCTAAAATTAAAACTAAGCCTGTTATTTTGTTTGAAAACTTCTGTTTCTGGGTGAATTTAAAAGGTCATGCTTCTTTTCCACCCGATTTCGATGTTTTGAAATTCTCATATTCGAGCCCAATGTCCGATCGCGTTATTTGTCCGGATATTTGTTAATTTAGTCAAAGAATCTGAGAAACGTGAGACAACTTTGAGAGGTTTTGAATTAATTTAGGATAAACCGCAAACAAATTGAAGCATCGTTAACTTTTACTTATTTAAAGTTTATGATGTTATCAAATCTTTTTGTAATTTACTTCCAACCGTGGCAACTATTTTGGATAAGAAGTCTAACCAGGCTTGAGTATGGATGTTGCTTTGTGCATACACCTT